ATTGAACTATTTGGGGTTGAAAGAGTGACTGAATACTAGTAGATCTATGTAGGATCAGTACTAAATACTTGGCTTCAAAATTAACCACAATTTTATTAGTACTCCTCCGTCCGGGAACAGGTGTCCAGAATGACTATTTTTCTTGTCCAGAAAACAAGTGTCCACAACAGAATGACTGTGTACGATTGAGTACAATTAGTACCAGAAACTTGTGTTATCACTACTATTAATGCTATTATACTACTAGTATTATTGCTATTGGGAATCAGCAGCAAGAGCCTGAGCTTCAGCAAGCACTTCRCGCCCTGCTTTGATGCGATCAGCATCGCAAATAATTGAAATTGGAAGTGTTCCCTTCTGAAGGAGACTTGCTTTCCCCATGTGCTGAAGCCTATAATTCTTGTTGTCGCCTCCAACACCAAGAGATGCTTGCATACAAGCCTGGAGAGATAGAAAGACATTGTTGAGAGTTTCACGCTTAGTCTCATCAWATGCCATTTCAACATTTTCAATCAAATGATCAATATCTTTTGACCGTTTCTTGTACTGGAGGCTTTGGATTGAATTAAAGAATCCAAGATCAAGCACATTCATATCTGGACTATTTGGTGGCTGGGTAACAACACGAATCTTCCAGCCTGCATCTGCTGCAGCTTTGCGAATATCAGTTCTGATACTCAGCTTGTGAGGCTTCGCATTGTCCTCTTGAATAATAATCTCATCAGTAGGTGGACTGCCATCAGTTTTTTTTGGCCACTTTTCGTAGATTGCGGGCAAAACTTTGTCAAGCAACATTTGCTTGTATACTTCACCATTAACATTCTGTGGTTTGGTCACTAGTGTTCCTTTGGGGCGGTTCACTGAGGTTCTTTTTGCTGGTTCTTTGACAACAAACGGCCAAATCCCAAGTTTACCGTCAAACCATGCATTCCTTGTCGAATCAAACCAAGGGCGTGCCGTTGCACAAAGAAACATTACCTTTGTCATATGGTTCTTTGACTTTGATGTGGTCTTGGGCTCATCTTCCTCTGGTAGCAGATAAGTCGTTTGCTTAGTCCGTTTCAAGTAGAACCATTTTTCGTCAACATGGATGTAATTGAACCAATCATTGAATCTGCCGTTGTTATCAATGTGACTCAATATCCATTCAACGCGGTGAACTTTATTCTTATCTGTTAGCAGAGGCTTGGTGGTTCCGTTGTGCTTCCTCATTGCACCTTGCTTCACAAGAGTATGCAGAGTGGACTTGGGGATTCCAGTTACAGCTGAAAGGGTTCTTAGATCACCTCTGTCTTTGTATGCAACATCTTTGAGAATTTCTTCCAAGTTTGTTACTTCTGATGCTTTCTTCCTTCCTGTATTGCCTTTTTTCCTTGCAGAAACGTCACCAGCGGGGCATGTAATTGGATCATAAGTCTCCTTGTACCGCTTCCAGATCCTTACGATTGTCCTCGGAGATTTATTGAAGTGCTCCGCAGTTCTTTTAAGAGCTCCCTTCACAAGCTTCCCTTCTTGTTCACCAGTACCTTGTTCTTGAAGAAGCATCTGTAGAACAGCACTTCGCTCATTATCGGTTAAGTTAATGCTGAGCTTCTTTCTTCCTGCCTCACTCGCAGTATCACTCGCAGTATCGCTTGCAGTATCGCTTGCTCCTCCAGTATCGCTTGCCGTATTGCTTGCCGTATCGCTTGCCGTATCGCTTGCTCCTCCAGTATCGCTTGCAGTAGTATCAACCATCTTGTTACTGTTTCTTTATTTGCTTTAGAAAGAACCAAGGGGGGGGGAAAGTGAGTTAAAGAAAAGTGAGTTAAAACAAGCAGCCGTTGGTTGATGCCGTTGGTTGATTGTTGAATCACTCCGACAAAGCAACGGAGGTGCGAGGGCAACGGAGGTGCGAGGGCAACGGAGGTGCAAGGCTTTGATTCCCGCGTCGGTGAAAGCAACGGAGGCGCAATTCCCTCTTAGTGGAAGCAATGCTGGAGACGCAAGTTGGTCTTAGAACCATTCCAATCGCCCAAATATTGAGCTTATTTCAGTAGTAAAGGTGCAAACTGGACACCTGTTCCCGGACGGAGGAAGTAGTAACAATTTTGGCGTTTGAGTAGAATGCCTTTTTGCTATGTAGGGCGTGGTGGGCTTTTTACGGTTAACGCACTTTATATCGAATTAGTAACTGGTACCACGTTTCTAGTAGAGCTACTAAGTACGGGCCCCATAATGGCAAGTTATTGGCAATCCCCGTACAAATACTAATAGAAATTTTTAGCTCATTTTTACAGTTAAAACCAGTTAAAAAAGGCATCCAATGGACCAAAATAAAAATATTTCCATTGTTTAATTTCTCGCTAGTCCCAAAATATTTCTATTGGTGGTCCTAAATATTCAAGATAAGCACTGATTTGATATTCTCACTAGTAAGGACCAGGAATAGAAATATTTTTGGACTCTATAGTTTTTTGTGTGGATGGGGGGAGAGGGGAAATAGAGACGGGAAAATGAGAAGAAATTGAYGTACGGAAATTGCCAATAACTTGCCGTTATGGGGCCCGTACTTAGTAGCTCTATTTTCTAGTAGTAGAAGTACTACCAGGTACTCATATTCTGTACTTGTTCAATTCAAATCAAGTTCTAACAGTACTGGTAGATACATAAATAGTTGTGCTTGTGTTGCCAGTGACATACACTTTTAACAGACCAAGAATCATTCCAAGTTTTTGTCAGAAATGTCAATTTACTAGTACTACTAGTAGTACGTCACATACTACTACTAGTGTTATTATTATTTCTTGACTGCTTGTTGTTGTTGCTTTCTGAAATTTTTCTTTTTTTTTGAGTAGTACTGATATGCATATTTGTATTCATTGATCCGCGACGTGCCGTCGTACCCATCTGGAAATTTTCCGGCATCTTGCAATAAGTAGGCAGCCACTTCGGGTCCTCCCACCAATTCGACAAATCCCCTCAACCATGGTCGAATGACATGCGAATATTCACCCTTTGTCTTATTAGCTCGTTCTGCCCAAACGTCATATGATCGGATTCCTCCTTTTCGAGCATCGTTTCGAAAACTGTAGGATCTCCAACTTCCCAAATAATGGCTTAAARTGAATTTTTCTTCTCGAATCATTTGTTGCAATGCCTTATCGCGTTTTTGTTGTTCCTTTTTGCAAATATCCTTCATGGGCCTGTGTGTTTCCCAGGAGTGTGCTCCACTCTTCTTATAATATCKGTTTTGTGTGTAAAGGTAGGGATTCCTCTGAGACAAATCGATGAATGATTTAGGCTGTCCATCCATACCATGCGTCAAAAATTTGTAACGGAGGGTATCAAATCGTCGGATGATATTTTGACGCTCTTCTTCGGTACTATGATGGGTGCTGCTGTTCATGAAACCCTCAGGAACAATACCGCCAGAAGAGAATAGTATCCCTGATTCCTCGGGATCTAGTTCTTTGGAACAATACCTCTTTCTATCAACCACAAGACACGAAAGCCCAGTTGAGTTGATGTAGGTCTCCGGTGGAAACTGCTGTTTAAGGGAATTTATTCGCTCGAAAAAGTATCCAGGCTGTTTCATTTTTCGGATCCCATCGTCAGTAATGTTGTTAACCTGCTTGTTGATTTTCGAAACCCAATCAAACGTAATAAATTCATCGATATCGTGGTATGACGTCCTGAATGATGCACGAGAAGGATCGAACAATAAATTGAGTAAAAAGCGACAAACTAGTTAGCCCATATATAGCATACCGCCCAGTATCATCCGTGCAAAAGGAACTCTTAGTATTTCCATACCAACTCTTGTTTTGCTCAACTAGGTGCTGGGAACATGCTTTGTAAAACTGACGCTGTCTAAAGCGGTGATAATTTGTTTTTTCAGTCCCATACAACTTCGTCGAATCGGATGTATTACTCAAAATCAATTCTTCCAAGGCATCCATGCGAACGCTGAAGTCAGGAATATAGTCAGAATCAGACATCTTGACGATTGTCATATTTAGCTTGTATCTATTCTCGTGGTCGTTCCAGCGGTCAAAAATTTCTTTCGGGGAAGTTTTACTCTTGGGATCCACATTAACGACGACATAACGTAATTTCATTACATAATAATGATAGGCCAGCCATTCTTCTAATCTATGGTTGTCGTCCATCCACAGAATGCATGCTGAGAACGATTCGGTCGGGTGTTCGTACTCATTTTTGACAGCGATCGCCGATGGGGTATCCAAATCGTGGCCCAGCATGTAGTGCCCAGTGGGGCCTTCAAATTCTGTAATGAACGCCAATCGAAGATTAAGGAAGACAAAAAATACCACAACGAATCCCACAGKCACCCGCCAGAGGTAGAAAGTTTTTCCCTGATGAGCATTTTTGGCAAGACGTATCATTACAGACTGAATAACATGTAGAGGTTCTTTTCGCAAATGCCACTGCCGGTACAGCATCGATAGAGATTTGTACTTCTTTTAGTTTTTTTCGACAAGTCATTCCATGGAAAATTTGGTGTTCACAATTTTTTTTTGCATGCCTTGCATCATTGAGTAGTAATGGAAACGACGTACAGACGAAAGACGGAAACCAGACAATTAGTCAACTCACAAAGTCGGATACCTCGCAAATATGAGACCCTCCACGCCTCAACAAGCCTTGGCCTCATTCTTGAAAGTATTGCGATGAAGGACCGCCATGGTAGGATAAGACATGATGTGAAATAGGAAGATTCACTCCAGCACATCAAATCCATCATCCTCGCCTCCTCAGCACAAGCTCACCACAACGACACGAGAATCCGGTGAAAACGCAACGACTCACCGCCAAACAAACTGACAAAGACACCCCCACCGTGCAACTACCCCAACCCCACACAACAAGCGCCCAGCGCAAACAAAACACAAAGCACACAGCGAAAACAATGTGAATCGCCAAACAGAACGCAAAATTTTCYAAACCAACAAACTACAGATGGACCCAATAATCCACAACCACAAGCATCCATCCCATCAAATCCAACACCCCGTCATCGTGACAACCCCCTCTCACAAAAAAACATCAACAACAATAACAACAATACTTAGTTGGCATGCTACCAGGCAATAGTGTGGAAATGGGTCATTTCCGCTACTAATAGAAATGCTAAATTTGATACACTGACAGACCAAAAATATATTACCTGTGGATAGATTTATCATGTTTGGAATGGGCCAAAGACCCCCATTCAAAATGTGCTAAATCTATTACAGAACTCTCAAATAAAATTTTGAGTCTGTTGTAGGGTTCAACATTAAGGCACACCAAAATTAAGACTCATCAGTTCAACAAAAATGAAACTCAGTTTTACTMAATTTTTCTAAACAACACCAACAACAACAAAGAGAGGCGCCTKYWTYAWSMARCWMYTMTYAWSRASRMCWCYKYTGWKRA